AAAAAAAAAAAAAAAAAAAAAACCTAGGGAATATCAAGAGGTTCATCCTATCTCAGTGACGGCGAACCTTTTAGAGACCGAGTGCCCCAAAACTCCCCCCCGCTCCATCCTCTGCCCTGCCCCCCATCCCCCACCCAGCCTGTCCACAGGGCCACTCACCACCTCCAGGGCCCGCCGCAGATTGCCCAGGCAGCCCAGCAGCGCTATGGCAGTCACGCCCTCCACCCGTGCCCTGCAATATCAACTGTGCATGATGGGGTGTGAGGGCAGAGTCTTGTCTACGCTGCCTGGCTGCCATGTCCTTGGCTGCGCTGCTCCGGGTGGGCCACGCTCAGGGGCAACTCTCCTTCAGGGGGGCTGCTAGAGAGGAGGGGGTTGCGGGGAGAGGCGAGGCTAGGGCAATGGCACGTGTGCCCACAAAGAGGGCTCCGAGTGCCGCCTCTGGCACCCGTACCATAGGTTCGCCACCACTGTCCTATCTGATCACACCCCATGATTAGTATTTTTTTAACTAGGGAATCCTTGGAAGAAAGCTACTGCCCAGTAAGATTTTTAAATGATCATCCTTCCCAATTTTTAACAGGATCTTTTCAGAAAACTCTAAACTTCAACACCATTTTACAGAATTTAGGGGCGTGGGATTCAAATTGCAGTTCTATACCTATTACCTAGTGTCAAAACTAGGAGGGGAAAAAACTCCATCCTGTATTCCTATATCCTATGCAAAGTTTCTTATAAATACACCTCTCGTTATTTAATCGGGTAAATTATTTGCAAGAATTCCACTCTCAGCCGCTTTACGTGATCACGAACATCCTTTGACGCTAGAAGAGCTCATGCAAGACTAGGAAAAGACTGCAAGGAAGCAGGCAGGCAGACAAGAGTTTGATTATTTTGTCACTATAATTGGATTGCACATCAGAGAGGTATCAGACGCAGTTTCAAGAAGCTGGCCATTTCATCAAGTGTTGTAGGAGGTCGGGATTTCAGCAAAGCAATTCTATCCTTAGTGGACAGACTGCAACAAAAATAGCAAAATGGACAGATTATATATGTGAGTGGCTGGAAAAGTGGCTCTTACAACTACAAAAAAAAAAAGGCAGGCATCTGTATTTACAATCAAACAATTAACATTTCAGAAGAGCAGGAAAACCTCATGTGTAGTCAAGAAAGGCTGTGTGATTTTGTCATTCAGTGCGTGATCCGACAGAAGCGTCCGTAATTACGAATACTAACAGAAAGGTTCCAAACAGCGCGTTTCAATAATTATGAAATGATTCCTTATTCCTGGAGTTTGGAGACATTTTAAGCTGCCATGAGACATCCAAATTATATGTACAGGTGGTCCTCAGCTTATAACCAATCGTTCAGTGACCATTCAAAGTTATAATGGCACTGAAAAAAGCGACTTAGGACTATTTTTCACATTTACAACCATGGTTTATATTTATGATGGTTGCCGTGTCCCTGGGTCACGTGATCACCTTTTGCGACAAGCGAAGTCAATGGGGAAGCCAGATTCACTTAGCAACTGTTACTAACTGAACTGCAGTGATTCACTTAACAACTGTGACAAGAAAGTTCGTAAGATGGGGGGGGGGAAACTCACTTAACGATGGTCTAATTTAGCAACAGAAATGTTGGGCTCCGTTGTGGTAGTAAGTCAAGGAGTACCTATACTGTATTATTTTTTATTTGTTTTACCCTGGAATTATACCCTGCATTTGGTTTCTCCTCTTCAAATAATATTACCTGCAGTCTCTGAAGGATGTTTTCCTTTTTCTGTTACAATGACTGCTCCTTTAAGAGGATCTCTCTCTGTCTCTGTCTCTCTCTCTCTCTCCCTCTCTCTCTTAGGAAGCTCAGAAATGCCATCTCCTTCAGGTAAATGAATAAAAGCACCAGATACTGCAAGCCAAATCTAAGGCAGCTCTTCCATTGGTCCACTCCATCACCCACTTCCCTTCTGTTAAAATTCCATTTCAAAAGATTTAATTTCACAGCCCCATCATTTATCTCTTAGCTTCCAAACCGACAATGCCAATTTTCAGATACATATCTATATATATTGTTATCAGTTAAAAGCAAAACCCAGAATGTTATTCTTATTCCTCCTTAGGCAAAATCTATAACTTTTACGGAATGAACTGAAATCGTTTTATTGGCGAGCTTAGTGCTTTTTAAAGTGTGCATTTACAAATTTTTTTTTGCTGATCCTTCTTATCCGGTTTTAAAGGAATACAAATAAATGTGTTTCACCTTTGACGTGCACAGGTTGATGTCCCTGCTGGCTGGACAGAGGTTACTGATCAACAGTCCACAAAGTATCAGCTTGGGGAAGACTAATTTCAGCCCTTAATTCTTACTTCTAATTCTACATAGATAGTTTAAATAGTTTATTAATTGATGAGTCTTTATGACCATATCAAAAATAGAAATCAAAAATCAAAATGTAAGATAAACTAGATAAAAGATAATACACTACAGGTAGTCCTTGACTTATGACCACAATGGAGCCCAAAATTTCTGTTGCTAAATGAGACAATTGTTAAGTGAGTTTTGCCCTTTTTTATGACATTTCTTGCCACAGTTGTTAAGTCAGTAACACGATTGTAAAGGGAATCTGGCTTCCCAATTGACTTTGCTGGTGAGGTGGTCACAAAAGATAAAATCACATGACCCTGGGACATGCAACCGTCATAAATATGAACCAGTTGCCAAGCATCCAAATTTTGATCATGTGACCACAGGGACTACTGCAACGGTTATAAATGTAAAAAAGTCATAAGTGACTTTTTTCAGTGCTGTTGTAACTTTGAACTGTCACTAAACTAATAATTATAAGTCTAGGACAGGGGTAGGCAATTTTGGCTCTTTTATGACTCGAGGACTTCAACTCCCAGAATTTCTGAGCCAGCATGACTCAGCATGGAAACCTCTCCATTTCTCCTCAGCATGGCTAGCTCAGGAATTCTGGGAGTTGAAGTCCATGAGTCATAAAAGAGCCAAGGTTGCCTACCTCTGGTCTAGGAGTATATGTAATAAAATACGTATGTGGTAAATACAAAGAATCAACAGTCAGGTAAATACATCCCCTTTATATGATCTCCCAATCTCTTCAATATGACAGGCCCTTAGTTCTGTTAACTATTGTAGTTAACTGCCTTTACTACTGTATATTCTGCTGTATAAGACGACCTCCGTCTTCGGCGCCGAGTCGCATGCCTACAAAGTCGTCTTATACGCTGGAAACTACTGTTATTTCTGGCGTATAAGACGACTTGGCGTATAAGACAATCCCTGACTTCGGCGCCAATTTTAATGCTTGCGAAAGTCGTCTTATACGCCGGAAAGTACGGTACAATTCTAAGCAGTTCTGCTCACATGCACAGATTAGAGCCCAGAAGGAAATCAGATCTGCAAATCAGGTCCCAGCAGCTGTTCGTTCATTCATTCATTCATTCATTCATTCATTCATTCATTCATCATTCATTCGACAATCAAACAAAACATGAGCAATTACTTTAATGGTTGTGGCACCACATAGACATGATTTGACAGGTGGTGGAAGTACCCAATTTTTCCTCTTCAGTCCTCCTTGTTTTTTAGCTATAAACATCTCTTGGTAGATATAAACATCTCATGCTATCTTTTTAAACTCATGAAAGTTGCCAAGCAAAGTCCATACTCACAAAAGAAAAACCAAGGAACGGTGCTGCATAAAACCACAATTTGCTTTAAAGTCTACCCAAGTTTGACTCAACGTGATCAAAAAATGTGGAAAAAGCAGACCTGCACACAGACCTCCAATTCCCTTACGTCTCCTGCCCATCATACCCAGGATCGATCTGTTTCAGCAAGCTTTGCCCAAAGATCCATTATTTTTTTCTTTTCCTTCTGAATTAACATGCAGGGTGGATTTTTCTCTTACTTATTTCACTTCGCCTGATCAAAAATGAGGCAAGAAGTTTTGCTGCACAGGTTAAGCACCCAGCGCACACTGTCCTCTGCTTGCAAAGTACCCCAAGCCAGGCCAAATTACTTTGTTGTCTGAGGCACAAAGTGACAACGCACCCTTTCCTATCCTTGACAATCATTATAATAATAAATATTAAAATAAATATTTGCTTCCTGAGGTCATCCAAAATCTGCTAACTGGGATAACAGTTCTATTCTGCTTTATGGTAAGTGCTACTGTAGAGTTACCAAAGCTATGGCTATTATTACTGTGTCGAAGAATATGGTTAATGCCCAAGAGAGCTTAATAGAGAGTTATGCATCTCTATCAAAATCTCTGAATAATGATTTGAGGAAAGGAAAGAGAGAGGAAGGGGGAGAGGGAGGGAGAGAAACAGTGTAATAATCTCGTTCAATTATTCTGCCCTCCATCCTAAGGAGACGAAAAAAGAACTGTAGGCTAAGTAGCTCTGATCTAACAGGCTAGTTTGGCACATTGGCAGGTGACTTTAAGCAGAATTCTTTGACAAACCTCTGCCCGTTTTTCTATCCTGCTTCTTTGCCCAACCTTTTAATACTATTCCCTCTGTTGCATCCATACCCTACTTTCCTCTTTCGCACAGGATAAGAGAAATCGCCTGAGTGTGAGATCATGTTAGCTTGCCACTAACCTATGTTCTCTCTTTGTTCTTTCAATTAAATTCTTGCTCTCAGGCAGCTGGAGATAAAATATGTATTTGTGCAATGTGAGGACATCATGATCAAGGCATTTCTGCCTGTCACGAGAGTAGAAAGATTCCCTTCTCTTTCACTAACTGTAGAGTTAGTGTTAAAATTAACCTTAAATTTTCTCTTTGCCTTCCCTGACATGAAACCGTACTCTAGTAGCCGATTACCCACAGATCTTACCTGTTGCATTGGAAAGAGCCAGCGACTCCATTGAACCCCGAGGAGTTTGTTCTGTGCGTGACAATTTTTCAGTGAATTTCAGCGCGCTGAGTGGATGCCTGGTCCGGCAATGCGGTTCCGTCATGCTACTGTCTTCTTCTTGGTCATACTTGTAACTCCCTCTGGTTTCACTAAAACTCTGGTTGGACATGTCACTGTAACTCTCCTGCGACCGAAGCCTTCCTGAGTAATAATCTTCTCGGCATTCCTGAATGAAACTGCTACCATGTCCTTTCATGGCTAGAGAGGTGTTTCTCTTTGGGTTGTTGAAATGTTTACCCCACAGTTCTTGTTGAGGACCTGGTGTCTGTGCTGGGTTGTAAGACGTCCTGACGTTACACTGACTGAGCAGCTGCAAAGGACTTTGTGATGGACTTTGCTCCATTTTGTTCCCGTAGTGGTAGAGTTCATCTCTGCTCCTCCATACGTGGTCCCTGTTTAGGCTCGGAGTCTGGCTGGACAAACTCAGCAGGTCCATCTGCAAGGAGAGAGGGTCCACGTCTGCAGACAGTCTGCTGGAGGTCACCTGCAATTGATTATTCTGGCTGCTGGCGTTCTCTTCTCCTTTGTTCCTGTTCTTCCCAATCTTAGCACTACGCCGGGATTCTTTGGCTCTGGCACTTTGGAAGGCAGAGTCTGATGAATCTGAACCGTTTGGATCATCACCCATGCTGCAGGCTCTGGAGCAAAAAATCTGTCCTTGCTTTGGCAAAAATGGTCGGCCCAGCAGAGATTTCTTACATTGGGCGCAGCAAAAGCAGGTCTCTGTAGCATGCCAGTGTTGACCATCATACGTCATCTGACCCTGATCGATGCCTTTAGGTAAGGGAGAAAAATACCATAAGTGCCAATCATACTACAATTTGGAGCAAAGCAGATGAGACATTTAGCAAGCTATTTTTTCCCCATAGTACCTACTGAGCAAAGATTAGTAATACTTGTGATTGTGACGTTCTCCCATTATTCTACTATAATTCAAAAGGTGATCTGATCGAATTTGTTCCTTAAGCACATCAGGCAGTACATGCAGTTCTTTTACCGCGAAATTTTCCATGCACACAAACATTCAAAAATGGAACACTTGTAATGGAGAGCAAAAGATTTCTATAGGTAGAGCAGTCTATATGGGGAAGCAGAATGTGTTAAACACATCGCTCCATTATTTCATGCTAACAGTTCCAATAGTGAAAAAAAAATGTTGGAAATATAGCCTGTGGAGTCCATGGTGGTCCCTGAGTTTGTTTGTTTGCAGACGTTTCATTATATAACTAGACAACATCAACGTAATAAAATATCCTCCAGCAAACAACTAAGCTCAGAGAGCACCAAGGATTCCAGAGTTCAACCCGGAGCTACATATGTTCTTTTCTATTGGAGCTCTATATGGCTTTTCTGGAATATTATAATTACATCCTATCCAGAGAAAGAAGCATTCAGAATATGGACTCATCACTAGATACATTTGCTCTGGTTTTATATCAGATTCCAGAGCCCAAAAAGTTAATAATCATCTTTTTTCTCTAGTCTGTCTGATGAAACAGAAAGAAAATGGAGCCCTCAGAGAATTATCCCGCTTGCCAGTTTTGTCATCAATCTTCTGCCATGAAACAGCAGAAAAAAAGACAAAAAAACCCCCTTGCTCGTAATTCAGTACCCCCTGGGGATTATCAAAAAGAATTAGGCCAATTAGTATTTCAACAATAAAAAACACTCTGTTTTCAATCAGAAAGGATCCTGAAGCTTACCTGTCATGGGTCAGGCTAGCTGTTCTTGAAATTAACACAACTTCCTGCTACCTCCCTTAAGTTGGGTGGTTTTTTTTTTTTACTTTGCAGTAAAACAAAAAGTTACATTCTCGGACCTCAGGGGGATATATTTTTTAAAGGGTCAACTGGCCTGCTCCAAATGTTTAAATAAAAAGAGATTTAAAAAGGGATAATAGACAAACTTCCCCACCTGATACCCTTCAGATATGCAAGATGATACTGACCATATGAACTCAGGATGAAGAATCTTAACTGATATTGAAAAATTATAGTCTTAATACTAGCTTGATGAAGGTTCGATCTAGATAACTGGAGGGCAAGCTTTATTCAGAGCTAGATCAAGTCATATTAATTAATTAATTCAGTTTTAGTTGTTACTCTTGCTGTGTCAATCCTCTGTTGAGAACTTGACACCTATGTTTTGGAAAGTGGTCACCAGTTGATTACTCAAAGCTGAAATGCAGCTGCTGGCATTAAATTGTGCCCAGCAGATCCTGATACATTACAGAATGAGTGGTTGGTTAGAAATGTGCAATAAAGTTCCCTGACCAACTTATATGTAAAATATAATTGAGTTGAATTGATTGTGATCATTGAGTTACAGTGTTGATCTGAAGCTAACTTTCTAGTGATCCACTATGATGCAAAAGGATGAGAAAATTAAGAAGTGACTGCTTCATATACTGTTAAGCTGTGGTTTCTTAACTGTTGAATAACTATTATTAGCTAGGTATTCATGGCAAACTAAACTGTAATCTATGCATTACAAACCACAATGGCTGAGTTTTCATAACATACTAAACCAAAACAAACAAACAAAATCCCCACAATGACTAAGCGTGATGTGGGAAGCCAGCCAATGAATGTGTACATAAACTGAATGCATGTTCTTCATTTCTCCCTCATATGGATTAACATGAAGGGATAACTGTCAATGAACGTGATAAATCTTCAAAATGGTTCTGTCACATCCCTAATCTGTGTTCCTGGCAGACCCACACTCTTTGTGAGTCAATGGCTGTGGCCTAATTACTAACAGTAATGAGTCACCAATTATTATAACTTTTCATCTTGCAGAATCAATTTTATCCTCACTGCTCTTCAGAGAATCTATCTCCTAAATTCAGTTACTTATATTAATAGGAACATCATTTTTATAATAATAGTAATAATTTCTTTTTACCAAAGTATGCCGTGAGGTTTAATCAAACACATGCAAATTTATGACAATGAGAAAACTATCCCCAATAGACTGCAAAAATGGGCCTAAAACTAATCATCCTTCCATTAGCCCAGAGTGAGTAACCCAGGGGTCTTCAAATGTGGCCTTTTTATGACTTGTGGACTTCAACTCCCAGAATTCCTCAGCCAGCGTCATAAAAGGGCCAAGTTTGAAGACCCCTGGAGTAACCATTAGATGTTTCTTTAAATTGTTTCAAAAGGCTAACAATAGTTTGTAAAACCAGTACACCAAAATCAAAACAATTATCTACAAATAGATTTAAACAGCTAAGTTGTTGCCAATTATGCTGACTAATTCATTAACATGTTAGGTTAGCCATCAACATTAGTAACAGACCTATTAGCCTGACCTCAATACCTGGGAAGATCCTGGAAAAGATAATCAAACAATGAATCAACGAACACCTAGAGGCAAACAAAGTCATTACCAAAAGCCAACACGGGTTTGTCAAAAATAGATCATGCCAGACAAATCTTATTGCATTCTTTGACCAAGTGACAAAATTAGTGGATCAAAGGAATGCTGTGGACATAATTTACTTGGACTTCAGTAAGGCATTTGATAAAGTAGATCACAACCTACTACTTGATAAGATAGCAAAATGTGGGGTAGACAGAATTACCACCAGATGGATCCGTAGCTGGCTGACCGGCCGTACTCAGTGAGTGGTCCTCAATGGAACCGCATCTACATGGAAGGAAATGTGTAGTGGGGTGCCCCAGGGCTCTGTTCTGGGCCCAGTGCTCTTCAACATCTTCATCAATGATTTGGACAAAGGGATAGATGGGGAACTCATCAAATTTGCAGACGACACCAAGCTGGCAGGAATAGCCAACACTCCAGAAGACAGGCTTAAGATACAGAAGGATCTGGACAGACTTGAACACTGGGCACTATCTAACAAAATGAAATTCAGTGGTGAAAAAAGCAAGGTTCTACATTTAGGCAAGAAAAACCAAATGCACAAGTACAGCATATGTGGCACCTTGCTCAATAGTAGTAACTGTGAGAGGGACCTCGCAGTCCTAGTAGACAATCACCTAAATATGAGCCAGCAGTGTGCTGCAGCTGCCAAAAAGGCCAACACAGTGCTAGGCTGCATTAACAGAGGGATAGAATCAAGATCACATGAAGTATTAATACCACTCTTCAATGCCTTGGTAAGGCCACACTTGGAATACTGCATCCAGTTTTGGTCACCATGATGTAAAAAAGATGTTGAGACTCTAGAAAGAGTACAGAGAAGAGCAACAAAGATGATTAGGGGACTGGAGGCTAAAACATATAAGGAACGGTTGCTGGAATTGGGTATGTCTAGTTTAACGAAGAGAATGACGAGGGGGGACATGATAGCAGTATTCCAATATCTCAGGGGCTGCCACAAAGAAGAGGGAATCAAGCTATTTTCCAAAGCGCCTGAAGGCAGGACAAGAAGCAACGGGTGGAAACTAATCAAGGAGAGAAGCAACCTAGAACTAAGGAGAAACTTCCTGACAGTCAGAACAATTAATCAGTGGAACAACCTGTCTCCAGAAGTTGTGAACGCTCCAACACTGGAAGCTTTAAAGAAGAGACTGGACGGGGAGCTTCCGGTAGGCAGCGGCGATGATGGCGGCTACCTTGTAGTCGTCCTCCTGGGACGGCGTCAGATCCGCGGAGCGCAGCGTTCACCAGCTGGCCCGCGGTTCGGAATCCCCTTCCCGGGCAAAGGGAAGGGGTAGAGACTGCAGGAGTAGAGGTAGAACCTCCGAACCCCCTCTGGATTTTTTCTTTGAGGGGGGAGACGGAGCGCTCCCTCAGAGCTCCTGCCTATCTCCGTCTCCCAGCTGTTTTTGCTTCTTCGGAAGCAAAAGGAAACGTCGCTTCCACCTCCGCGATTAAAGAGTTTCGGTGAGTTACTTTTGAAGCGGACAGGGCGGTTTAAAGGATGTTCTTTTAGAGTTTAGTATTTTACTTTTCCTTTTTAATTAATTTTGGTCTTTTTTTCCTTTGTTTCTTTTTGCTGGTACGGAGAGAGCAATTAAGATGGCGTTTTGAAAATGCTCGTTTTTTTTTCTTTTCTCTTTGTTCTTATTTCTCTGGAAGGAAATGGACTTAAATGATTGTTTTTGATTTTCTCTTTCTACTTTCCTTTTTCTTTCTTCTTGAGTGAGCTTTGGACTCCTTTTTTGATTTTTTTTTCTTTTTGGAATCTTAAGGATTACAGTATTTTTGTTTTTTTTCTTAATTATTATTTCCCTTTTCTTTTTTTTTGGAAAGAAGGAAAGAGATAATTTTGTTTTGAAAAATGGCTTCAAAGAGACAACCGCCTTCTATACTATCCAAGGTGGTTTCCTCTCCCACAACTTTAACTGTGCAACAACAACTTAAACCTGTTCCACCAGCGCAGCCCCCACCCTCCCCTCCTTTGCCAGGCCTGTCTGCACAAGAGATTAAAGACATAATGGGAAATGCTGTATCCCAAATTAGGGATGAAATGAAGCAGCTTTTTCTACAGATCAAATCTGAAAGCAAAGAGGAAATGAAGGAAATGAAGGAGTTATTAGAGGATAATAATACTATTTTGAGGCAAGATATAGTTACAGCCTTATCAGGCCTGGCCTCCATGGTGGTGAAGTTGGACTCGAGGGTGGAGGAAGTCGCAGATAAAGTTGATTTTTTTGAGGATAAATTTCAAGATATGGAAAGGAAGATGGAGATTTCACAAGAGGATATTCTTATGTCCCAGTATAGAGAAATGGAATATGCTTTGAGAATCAGAGGTCTGAAGGAGGACATGAATCAAGATTTGACAGAGATGGTGCTTA